CCTAGACTCACACTGCCCATAGACTCAACACTGCCCCATAGACTCAACACCATAGACTCATCACTGTACCACAGACTCATCACCATAGACTCATCACCATAGACTCATCACTGCCCATAGACTCAACACTGCACCATAGACTCAACACTGCACCATAGACTCAACACTGCCCATAAACTCAACACCACACCATAGAGTCAACACTGCACCATAGACTCAACACTGCACCATAGACTCAACACTGCACCATAGACTCAACACTGCCCATAGACTCAACACCATAGACTCAACACTGCACCATAGACTCAACACTGCACCATAGACTCAACACTGCACCATAGACTCAACACTGCACCATAGACTCAACACTGCCCATAGACTCAACACCATAGACTCAACACTGCACCATAGACTCAACACTGCACCATAGACTCAACACTGCACCATAGACTCATCACTGTACCACAGACTCAACACCATAGACTCATCACCATAGACTCAACACCATAGACTCATCACTGTACCACAGACTCAACACCATAGACTCAACACCATAGACTCATCACCATAGACTCATCACCATAGACTCAACACCATAGACTCATCACTGTACCACAGACTCAACACCATAGACTCAACACTGCATCATAGACTCAACACCATAGACTCAACACCATAGACTCATCACAACACCATAGACTCATCACTGTACCACAGACTCATCACCATAGACTCAACACCACAGACTCAACACCACAGACTCATCACCATAGACTAAACACCACAGACTCAACACCATAGACTCATCACCATAGACTCATCACTGTACCACAGACTCATCACCATAGACTCATCACCATAGACTCATCACTGCCCATAGACTCAACACTGCCCATAGGTTCAACACCATAGACTCAACACCATAGACTCAACACTGCATCATAGACTCAACACCATAGACTCAACACCATAGACTCATCACAACACCATAGACTCATCACTGTACCACAGACTCATCACCATAGACTCAACACCCACAGACTCAACACCATAGACTCATCACCATAGACTCATCACCATAGACTCATCACCATAGACTCATCACCATAGACTCATCACTGTACCACAGACTCATCACCATAGACTCATCACCATAGACTCATCACTGCCCATAGACTCATCACTGCCCATAGACTCATCACTGCCCATAGACTCAACACTGCACCATAGACTCAACACTGCACCATAGACTCAACACTGCCCATAGACTCAACACTGCACCATAGACTCAACACTGCCCAAAAGACTCAACACCACATAGACTCAACACTGCACCATAGACTCAACACTGCACCATAGACTCAACACTGCACCATAGACTCAACACTGCACCATAGACTCAACACTGCCCATAGACTCAACACTGCACCATAGACTCAACACTGCCCATAGACTCAACACTGCCCATAGACTCAACACTGCCCATAGACTCAACACTGCCCATAGACTCAACACTGCACCATAGACTCAACACTGCCCATAGACTCAACACTGCCCATAGACTCAACACCATAGACTCAACACTGCCCATAGACTCACCATAGACCACTGCACCATAGACTCAACACTGCCCATAGACTCAACACTGCACCATAGACTCAACACTGCCCATAGACTCAACACTGCACCATAGACTCAACACTGCCCATAGACTCAACACACACCATAGACTCAACACTGCACCATAGACTCAACACTGCACCATAGACTCAACACTGCCCATAGACTCAACACTGCCCATAGACTCACACCATAGACTCAACACTGCACCATAGACTCAACACTGCCCATAGACTCAACACTGCACCATAGACTCAACACTGCACCATAGACTCAACACTGCCCATAGACTCACACCATAGACTCAACACTGCACCATAGACTCAACACTGCCCATAGACTCAACACTGCACCATAGACTCAACACTGCACCATAGACTCAACACTGCACCATAGACTCAACACTGCACCATAGACTCAACACTGCACCATAGACTCAACACTGCCCATAGACTCAACACTGCCCATAGACTCAACACTGCCATAGACTCAACACTGCCCATAGACTCAACACTGCACCATAGACTCAACACTGCCCATAGACTCAACACTGCCCCATAGACTCAACACCATAGACTCATCACTGACCATAGACTCACACCATAGACTCACTGCACCATAGACTCAACACTGCCCATAGACTCAACACTGCCCATAGACTCAACACTGCACCATAGACTCAACACTGCCATAGACTCAACACTGCCCATAGACTCAACACCACCATAGACTCAACACTGCACCATAGACTCAACACTGCCCATAGACTCAACACTGCACCATAGACTCAACACTGCCCATAGACTCACACCATAGACTCAACACTGCCATAGACTCAACACTGCCCATAGACTCAACACTGCCCATAGACTCAACACTGCCCATAGACTCAACACTGCCCATAGACTCAACACCGTAGACTCAACACTGTCCATGGACTCAACACTGCACCATAGACTCAACACTGCACCATAGACTCAACACTGCACCATAGACTCAACATTGCCCATAGACTCAACACTGCACCATAGACTCAACACTGCACATAGACTCAACACTGCCCATAGACTCAACACTGCACCATAGACTCAACACTGCCATAGACTCAACACTGCCCATAGACTCAACACTGCACCATAGACTCAACACTGCCCATAGACTCAACACTGCCCATAGACTCAACACCATAGACTCACACTGACCACAGACCTGCACCATAGACTCTGCCCATAGACTCACACTGCCCATAGACTCACACTGCCCATAGACTCAACACTGCACCATAGACTCAACACTGCCCATAGACTCAACACTGCCCATAGACTCAACACTGCACCATAGACTCAACACTGCACCATAGACTCAACACTGCACCATAGACTCAACACTGCACCATAGACTCAACACTGCCCATAGACTCAACACCATAGACTCAACACTGCACCATAGACTCAACACTGCACCATAGACTCAACACTGCACCATAGACTCAACACTGCCCATAGACTCAACACTGCACCATAGACTCAACACTGCACCATAGACTCAACACTGCCCATAGACTCAACACTGCCCATAGACTCAACACTGCCCATAGACTCAACACTGCCCATAGACTCAACACTGCCCATAGACTCAACACTGCACCATAGACTCAACACTGCCCATAGACTCAACACTGCCCCATAGACTCAACACCATAGACTCATCACTGCCCATAGACTCAACACTGCCCCATAGACTCAACACCATAGACTCATCACTGCCCATAGACTCAACACTGCCCCATAGACTCAACACCATAGACTCAACACTGCCCATAGACTCAACACTGCCCATAGACTCAACACTGCCCATAGACTCAACACTGCACTATAGACTCATCACTGCCCATACAGAGAGGCGCGACCCCCCAGGGCGACCCCCACCCCGCCCCCACACGGTGGTGCCGCCACCTTCGATGGGCTTGGGCAGGAAGTGCGCGCAGGGCTTGGTCTTCTTCACGTGGTTGCCCTTCATGGGGCCGCCATCCTTGCCCAGGCCCAGGAACCAGGAGCGGCCCGACTCGTGCTGCTTGTAGAGTGTGGAGGCGTAGATGACGTAGTAGTTCTGGTACACCGACTCCTTGAAGCGGCACTCCGGGGTGAAGCGCTCCTGATCACGTGGGAGGGGTGGGTATGGGAGGGGGGGTATGGGGGGACGCACCGTTGCACGTCAGTAAGGTAACGGTGGTGCTGCTTGTGTCGGGTGGTGGTGGTGGTGGGTGTGGTGGTGGTGGTGGGTGTGGTAGTGGTGGGTGTGGTGGTGGTCGTGGCTGTGGTGTTGGTGGCTGTGGTGGTGGTAGCGGTGGTGCTGCTTGTGTCGGGCGGTGGTGGCTGTGGTGGTGGGTGTGGTAGTGGTGGGTGTGGTGGTGGTGGGTGTGGTGGTGGTAGTGGATGTGGTGGTGGTAGTGGTGGTGGGTGTGGTGGTGGTGGGTGTGGTAGTGGTGGGTGTGGTGGTGGTGGGTGTGGTGGTGGTAGTGGATGTGGTGGTGGTAGTGGTGGTGGGTGTGGTGGTGGTGGGTGTGGTAGTGGTGGGTGTGGTGGTGGTAGTGGATGTGGTGGTGGTGGTGGGTGTGGTAGTGGTAGTGGATGTGGTGGTGGTAGTGGTGGTGGGTGTGGTGGTGGTGGGTGTGATGGTGAGTGTGGTGGTGGTGGGTGTGGTGGTGGTCGTGGCTGTGGTGGTCGTGGCTGTGGTGTTGGTGGGTGTGGTGGTGGTGGTGCTGTGGTGGTAGTAGTGCTGGCTGTGGTGTTGGTGGCTGTCGTGGTGGTGGCGGTGGTGGTAGTGGTGGCTGTGGTGGTGGTAGTGGTGGCTGTGGTGGGTGTGGTGGTGGTGGTAGGGGTGCTGTGGTGGTAGTAGTGGTGGCTATGGTGTTGGTGGGTGTGGTGGTGGTGGGGGCTGTGGTGTTTGTAGCTGTCAAGGTGGTGGCGGTGGTGGTGGCTGTGGTGGTGGTGGGTGTGGTGGTGGTGGTAGTGGTGGCTGTGGTGGTGGTAGTAGTGGTGGCGGTGGTGGTAGTGGTGGCTGTGGTGGTGGTAGTGGTGGTTGTGGTCGTGGCTGTGTTGGTGGTGGCTGTTGTGGTGGTGGCTGTGATGTTGGTCGCTGTTCCGGCATCGGCGCATCCACACAACATCATGGATGCATGCCGGGTCCAAGCAAGAACATCTGCTGGACTACATAGTGACGGACCAGCGGATGCAAGCCCATGTCCTTGACACCAGGACCTACAGTGGAGCTGATCTGCCCTCTGACCATCGACTTGTCATCTGTAAGATGCACCTGCCATTCTTTCACTCCGGTGGTGGGTGTACACCCAGGACCCCATTCAAATCTAAGGTGGCCTGGTCTCAGCTAGCTGATGGAATTTGCAAGCGAGAATTTCATCATCGCTTGCGTCTGGGGTTGGCATCGTCACCCACTCCTCCTGATGTCGAGGGTAAATGGGCGAGGTTTAGGACTGTCACTCAGGCAGCTGCAATGGCTGCTTTGGGTACGCGGTCCAGACCTCCCCAGAGACCCTGGCTGACAGAGGAGGTGTTCAGGCTAGCTGATAAAAAGTGACAGGCCCACTCTAATCGTCTACAGCGTCCCACATCAGAGAATGAGGAGGCTTATCGCAGACTTCGCTCGGAGGTTCGGAGAGCCGTGAGGCGCTGCAAGGATGGGTGGTGGTCGCGGGTTGCTGAGGAGATGGAGTCTGCCTCAATGGCCCGCGATCACAAATCCCTATTTAACTCCATCAAAAAAAGTAACCTGCAGTGCCACAGCTATTACCATCATTAGGGGGGGGAAACGGTGATCCAATCTCCGACCCCCAGGAACAGGTTTGCAGATTTGCTGAGCATTTCTGTGAGGTCCTGGGGGAGGGGAAATCCCTCAGCCAGGAAAACATCGTGGGACAAAGTGGGGATGACCACTTTGAAAGAGGGTGGCGTTTGTGCACTGACTGCCCTACATGACATCATAACAACAGTCTGGACCACTGGACGGTTTCCGCAGGTTTGGAAGGATGCCCTGGTGGTCGCCCTTCTTAAAGAGTGTGACAACTATAGGGAATCTCACTCCTCGTGTGCCGGGAAAGGTCCTGGCAAGGATTATTCAACATCGCCTTGCCAGGCACGCTGAGGAGAGGCTTGCGGAGCCCCAATGTGGTTTCAGGAAAGGGTGGTCCTGCACAGATGCCATATTTTCTGTCTGTTTGCTACAGCAGAGGTGTAGAGAATTCCAACAAGACCTACATCTCTGCTTTATTGACCTGGTCAAGGCCTATGATACCATCAGTAGGCCTGGGCTCTGGGTTGTTCTTCGTGCTTTCGGAGTCCCTGACCCTCTGCTCACGATCATGAAGGACCTTCATGATGGTGAGCGGGCCCGGATAAAACTACATGGTCGGGAGTCGGAGCCATTCCCTGTTCACCTTGGGGTGCGACAGGGATGTCCTCTGGCTCCAACATTATTTAACATATTTTTCGACCACGTACTTCGTGAAGCGCTTGATGGCTATACCGGAAGAATTTCCATCTGGTAGAGATACAATGGGAGGCTGATCGATGCCCGGGTGCGGTCAAGGGATGGCTCCCTATTGGTCACCCACGTTATCTACGTCGATGATTTGGTAATAGCTGCTCATTCAGAGGAGGAGTTGGAGACGCTGCTGCTGAAACTGGAGCATGCCACTAAGAGGTGGGGCCTTACCATCAGCCCCACCAAAACTAAGCACCTGCCTGGGTATTTTGTACCATCGGACACTCCACCCCCACAACTTCCAATCAGTGATAGGGCAGTTGTGGAGAGAGTGGAGAGTTTCCCATACCTGGGCAGTGTGCTCATGACCAGCTCCGGTTTGACAGCAGAGGTCTCACTCAGAATCAGTCGAGCGGCAATATCTTTTCATCGGCTGCGTAACGCTGTGTGGAAGCTACCTGGTCTGCCGCTCCGCACGAAGCTTCAAGTCTTCTCGGCCATGGTCATTCCCTCCCTGCGCCTATTGGAAACATTTAGGCTGGCCTGCCTACGATCCATCCTGGGTTTAACCAGCAGGCTGGATTGTGTGAGGAGCTCACAAATCCTTGAAAGATCTGGGCAAAGTCCCATCGGGGAGCTCCTCCGGCAGGCAAGGCTGCGTTGGCTGGGCCATGTAGCCCGCATGCCCAGTCACCGCACGCCGAAACAGCTTTTGTTTGGCCAGATAGAGGGGGCTTAACTGGCGCGGCACGGGCTAGAGAAGAGATGGAGTGATGTGGTACAGGAGGACGTGGAGCTGAGTGGACTTGCCGATGACTGGTACCAGCGGTGTCAAGATCGGCCTCTGTGGAGGAGGCTCGTGAAGGACGCTACTGGGCAGTTGGAGGCAGTCGCCCTCCAACAACAACGGAGGGTGGAAGAGCGACGCTCACAACAACGAGCGGAGCGCCGGGTGGCTAAAACACAGCAAGTTGGCACAGTAGGGGGCACAGGTGGTGCATCAGCCAGTCATCTCGGTCATCTCAGTCAGTCGACCCGTGGCACCTGGGTCTGCCCCGTGACCTCCTGCCAGCGGGCGTTCGACACTTCACGTGGCCTCAAGGTGCACTTGGCCTGGCACAAGCGTCGTGGTGACGTCACCGCCACTTAGTGGCGAATGCCAGTTGTTGTTGTTGTTGTGGTGTTGGTGGTGGTGGTGGCTGTGGTGGTCGCTGTGGTGATGGTGGTGGCTGTGGTGGTGGTGGTGGCTGTGGTGATCGCTGTGGTGGTGGTGGTGGCTGTGGTGGTGGTGGTGGCTGTGGTGGTGGTGGTGGCTGTGGTGGTGGTGGCTGTGGTGATGCCTGCCCTGCCCCTGCCCCCCGCACCGAGGTGTAGAGGAAGCCGCTGACGTTCATGGCGATGTAGAGGCCGGACTTCACTCCCTGGATGGCGACGACGCGCAGACCCACGGGGATCAGGTTAAAGAGCGCTGCACACACAGAGCACACACACACAGAGCACACACACACACAGAGGGGATCAGGTTAAAGAGCGCTGCACACACAGAGCACACAGATACAGAGCACACACACACACAGAGCACACACACACACAGAACACACACACAGACAGAGCACACACACAGAACGCACACACACACAGAGGGGATCAGGTTAAAGAGCGCGACACAGAGCACACACACACACAGAGCACACACACACAGAGCACACACACACACACAGAGCACACACACACAGACAGCGGGGATCAGGTTAAAGAGCGCTGCACACACAGAGCACACAGACACACACAGAGCACACACACACACAGAGCACACACACACACACAGGGGATCAGGTTAAAGAGCGCTGCACACACAGAGCACACAGACACACACAGAGCGCACACACACAGAGCACACACACACACAGAGGGGATCAGGTTAAAGAGCGCTGCACACACAGAGCACACAGACACAAAGCACACACACACACAGAGCACACACAGAGCACACACACACACACATAGAGGGGATCAGGTTAAAGAGCGCTGCACACAGAGAGCACACAGACACAGAGCACACACACACACAGAGCACACACACAGAGCACACACACACAGACAGAGGGGATCAGGTTAAAGAGCGCTGCACACAGAAAGCACACAGACACAGAACACACACACAGAGCACACACACACACAGAGCACACACACACACATAGAGCACACACACACACAGAGCACACACACACACACAGAGCACACACACACACAGAGCACACACACACACAGAGCACACAGACACAGAGGGGATCAGGTTAAAGAGCGCTGCACACACAGAGCACACAGACACAAAGCACACACACTCATAGAGCACACACACAGAGCACACACACACATAGAGGGGATCAGGTTAAAGAGCGCTGCACACACAGAGCACACAGACACAGAGCACACAGACACAGAGCACACACACACATAGAGCACACACACACACACGCAGAGCACACACACACACAGAGCACACACACACAGACAGGGGATCAGGTTAAAGAGCGCTGCACACACAGAGCACACACACAGACACACAGAGCACACACACACACAGAGCACACACACAGACACAGAGCACACACAGAGCACACAGACACAGAGCACACACACACACGCAGAGCACACACACACACACAGAGCACACACACACAGACAGGGGATCAGGTTAAAGAGCGCTGCACACACAGAGCACACACACAGACACAGAGCACACACACAGAGCACACACACACACACAGAGACACACACAGAGCACACAGACAGAGGGGATCAGGTTAAAGAGTGCGACACAGAGCACACACACACAGAGCGCACACACACACAGAGGGGATCAGGTTAAAGAGTGCTACACACACAGAGCACACACACACACAGAACACACACACAGAGACAGAGCACACACACAGAGACAGAGCACACACACGGAGCACACACACACACGGAGCGCACACCCACACACAGAGCACACACACAGAGCACACACACACACAGAGGGGATCAGGTTAAAGAGCGCTGCACACAGAGAGCGCACACACAGAGTACACACACACACAGACGATGTAGTGGGTGTAGTGGGTGGCAGGGTGGATGTAGTGGGTGGCAGGGTGGGTGTAGTGGGGGGTGGAGTGGGTGGATGGTGGGGGGTGACTTGCCAAGGTGACATGCGCTGTCATCATTAACCGGCGCGTCGCAGATATTCCAGTAGCACAAAGATCACCGCCACTGCCACCACCAATTCACATCGCTACCATCACACTCATCACTACCACCATCATCCATCATCACCACCACCATCATCATCCATCATCGCTACCATCACACTCACCATCATCCATCATCACTACCACCACCACCATCATCACTACCATCACTCATCATCATCCATCATCATCATCACTACCATCACACTCATCATCATCCATCATCACCACCACCATTATCATCCATCATCATCCATCATCACTACCATCACACTCATCATCATCCATCATCACTACCACCACCACCATCATCATCATCACTACCACCATCATCATCACCACCACCATCATCATCCATCATCGCTACCATCACTCTCATCATTAATCATCATCATCACTACCACCATCATCATCGCTACCATCACTCATCACTCGCATCATCCATCATCACTACCATCATAATCATCCATCATCACTACCATCACACTCATCATTAAGCATCATCATCACTACCACCATCATCACTACCATCACTCTCATCATCATCCATCATCACTACCATCATCATCATCCATCATCACTACCATCACACTCATCATTCATCATCACTACCATCATCATCATCACTGGCACTACCATCACACTCACCACTGTCACTATCATCAGTCACTACTCTCATTAACCATCGTCATCGTCACTATCATCATCGTCACTAACATCACCATCATCACCATCGTCACTAACATCACAGTCATCACCACCTCTATCACACTTATCACTGTTATCGTCCTGGGTCTGGGTGTGTCTCTCAATCTGTCAGGGGGTTCACAATGGCCGTGTCAGACACACTGAGTTCCTGGGTTCTAGCCCTGGGTCTGGGTGTCTCTCTCTCTCAAGAGGTCCACAATGGCCGTGTCAGAGACACTGAGAACCTGGGTTCAGGGTTCAAGCCCTGGGTCTGGGTGTCTCTCTCTCTCAAGAGGTCCACAATGGCCGTGTCAGAGACACTGAGAACCTGGGTTCAGGGTTCAAGCCCTGGGTCTGGGTGTCTCTCTCTCTCAGGAGGTCCACAATGGCCGTGTCAGAGACACTGAGATCCTGGGTTCAAGCCCTGGGTGTCTCTCTCTCTCAAGGGGTTCACAATGGCCGTGTCAGAGACACCGAGAGTCTGGGTTCAAGCCCTGGGTCTGGGTGTCTCTCTCTATCAGGGGGTTCACAATGGCCGTGTCAGAGACACTGAGATCCTGGGTTCAAGCCCTGGGTCTGGGTGTCTCTCTCTCTCAAGGGGTTCACAATGGCCGTGTCAGAGACACCGAGAGTCTGGGTTCAAGCCCTGGGTCTGGGTGTCTCTCTCTATCAGGGGGTTCACAATGGCCGTGTCAGAGACACTGAGATCCTGGGTTCAAGCCCTGGGTCTGGGTGTCTCTCTCTGAGTGGGTTCATAATGGACGTGTCAGAGACACTGAGTTCCTGGGTTCTAGCCCTGGGTCTGGGTGTCTCTCTCTCTCTCTCAGGGGGTTCACGATGGCCGTGTCATAGACACTGAGATCCTGGGTTAAAGCCATTCACTCACTCAGTCACCCACTCACTCACTCACCCACCCACCCACTCACTCACTCACCCACACATTCACTCACCACTCACTCACCCACTATTTACTTACTCGCCCACTCACCGACTCACTCACCCACCCACTCACTCGCTACTCACCCACTACTCACTCACTCACCCACCCACCCACTCACCCACCCACTCACCCACACACTCACCCACTCACTCACCCACCCACTCACTCACCCACTCAGTCACCCACTCACTCATTCATTCACCCACCCACTCACCCACTCACTCACTCACCCACACACTCACCCACCCACTCACTCACCCACTCACCCACCCACTCACCCACCCACTCACTCACCCACCCACTCACTCACCCACCCACTCACCCACCCACCCACTCACCCACTCACTCACCCACCCACCCACCCACTCACCCACTCACTCACCCACTCACTCACTCACCCACCCACCCACTCACCCACTCACTCACCCACCCACCCACCCACTCACCCACTCACTCACCCACTCACCCACCCACCCACCCACCCACTCACCCACTCACTCACTCACTCACCCACTCACCCACTCACCCACCCACTCACCCACCCACTCACCCACTCACCCACTCACCCACCCACTCACCCACTCACCCACCCACTCACCCACTCCCTCACCCACTCACTCACTCATTCACCCACTCACCCACCCACTCACCCACCCACTCACTCACCCACACACTCACCCACTCAGTCACCCACTCACTCATTCACTCACCCACCCACTCACCCACCCACTCACCCACTCACTCACCCACCCACTCACTCACCCACTCACCCACTCACTCACCCACTCACTCACCCACCCACTCACTCACCCACTCAGTCACCCACTCACACACTCACCCACCCACTCACCCACCCACTCACCCACCCACTCACCCACTCAGTCACCCACTCACTCATTCACTCACCCACCCACTCACCCACCCACATACCCACCCACTCACCCACTCACTCACTCACCCACTCACCCACTCACCCACACACTCACTCACTCACCCACTCACTCACTCACCCACTCACTCACTCACCCACCCACTCACTCACGCACACACTAACTCACCCACTCACTCACCCACATTGGGGGGAGGGGGACAGGAGGGGTGGGGGCAGGAGGGAGGGGGGAGTGGAGGGGAGGGGCGTGGGGGGCGGAGGGGGCTCCGAGGCCCCCACCCGCTCCGGCGGTTGCCGTGGCAACGGGGGCGGCGGCGCAGCCAGGCAACGCGCTCCTCGTGAGCGTGACGAGTGGCGCGGCAAGGGCGCGGCGCTCGTGCGCATGCGCGGGAAACCCCCCGCCCCTCCCCTCCACCCCCCAAACCCCTCCCACCCACTTCACACCTCCCACAGGCTCACAATGGCAGAGGGTGGCGGATGACAGTGGTGATGATTCTGCGTCTCTCGAACACTCATCCGCTACTCACTCACTCAGTCACTCAGTCACTCACTCAGTCACCCACTCACTCACTCACCCACTCACTCACCCACTCACTCACCCACTCACTCACCCACCCACCTCACCCACTCAACCACCCACTCACTCACCCACTCACCCACTCACTCACCCACTCACCCACTCACTCACCCACTCACCCACTCACTCACCCACACATTCACTCACCCACTCACTCATTCACCCA